TCCTCGTCTTCTGCTTACATTTCTCTGTTCAAGGGCAGGGACCACACACACCTGATACTCCCCAAAACGTGTGAGGGATGGAAGCATCAGAGAAGCCACTTGCCCACATGCACGTTCCTTTGCAGCTCCTTTCCTGACTCCGTGGACGCAGGTGGTGTGTCACCTTTGTCCTTTGACATACACGCATCGTCCCGTGGCAAGACTGTCAGCGAGAGCGAGCTGAGTGCCAGCGCCACCGAGCTGCTGCAGGACTACATGCTGACGGTAGACTGGGCACTGCCTGCGCGCTGGGCTGCTGGAGGCGGGGAATACCGAGGACAGGGTGTGGGGAGAGGAGGGGAGGAGGAGCATCGTGGGGGTGGGCCATGGCAAGCATGAGTGGGGCGCCCGAGCACACGGGTCGGGTTTGCTGACATCACTGCCTTTTCCCAGGGCAGTCTAGGAGAGCGTGAGTCGGGGCTGCTGTGACCATCACGGCTGAACCGCAGCCTGTGCCCGGGTTCTGGGGGAGGGGTGGGAACCATGCCTCCTGCAATGTCACGGGCGGCACTTTCTACCCCCTTTAAACTTTTGTCCTTGAAAACCATCTTCCTGATCTGCATGTGTTTATGCCCCACGGGCATCAGCCTTGGCTCTGAGCCCCAGGTTGCGACTTCCTGCCTTGCTGACTCAAGTCTGTGGACCTGCCAGGCACTCCCCTCCCTTCTGTACACTCCCAGGAGATGCTGGTATAATGACTCAGGAGAGTAGAGCTGCCCAGGTGCCTCTCTGTCCTCCAGGTGGCTCCCATGCCGGTCCTTACAGGACAGGGGCACACTGTGGGCGTCAGGACCCCACAGCCCACACAGCTGTGAAGCCAGAGGTGGCTGGTGTGTGTGTGGCAGGCACCTGCATGCATGGCTATGCCCCCCGTACCCGCTGTGGGTGCTCTGCCTGGGGCCATGGCTATGGCAGGAGCGGCCAGGCTGCTATCCTGGCCTGCCGCGCCTAGTCCGTGCCTGGCTCTGCTCTCTCGCAGCTGCGCACCAAGCTCTCGTCCCAGGAGATCCAGCAGTTTGCGGCGCTGCTGCATGAGTACCGCAACGGGGCCTCCATCCACGAGTTCTGCATCAACCTGCGGCAGCTCTACGGGGACAGCCGCAAGTTCCTGCTGCTTGGTGAGCGAACCCCGAGAGTTCATCGGGTCCTGGGCCTACCTGGGGAGGCTGAACCCTCCTGGGACCCCTGAGCGGGTGGGGTGGGGCTCCAACAGCAGCGATGGTTATCAGAATGAGGGCCCAAGGTTGGAGGATCTGCCAGGAACCGGGAGGACTTGTCCTGGGGTGGTGGAGGCCCCCAGCAGGTCTTTACTCTCCTGAGAGCCCTTGAGGTGAGCCAGCTGGGCCCTGCCAGGAAGCAGCAGAGGGTTCCCCAGGAGCAGGCCTGGGAGTGAGCAAAACTCTGTGACTCAAGGGAAGAAGGCTGGAGAGGAGTCAGGAAGGGAGGTGGGTTTGGGTGAGTGTATATGAGTTTACTGGGTAGAGAGGTGAAGATGCCATTCCAAAGTGGAAGGGCTAGCCTTTGCCAAGACTCCCAAAGAGCTCAGCACTTGAGGTCATAGTGACTGGAGGGCTGGGTGGTCTGGCTTGCCTTGGACAACTGGGACTTGGCCCCTCAATGTCTGCCCAGCAGATTTGGGTATCAGCTCCACACCTCTCAGGGACTGTCACTGAGCCGTGGTTTCCCCTTCTGTTGACACTTAGAGCACAGCAAGTTGCCAGTAACTAGTTGAAGCCTCCCTGGGCTAGTTGAAGGCGCCTGTGCCCCCTTACAAACCAAGGAAGGTGGATTTGTTACCCTCATACTAGCACGGCAAGTGTGGGCCACCTGACCAAGGCCCTCTGCTTATATAGGAGGATGAGACCTGGAGGCTGGGCAGCCTCTGTATATAGCAGTGGTTACCAGCACCCATCGCTTCTGTGCTGGTACCTGCAGCCCCTCCTGGCATGGGCTCTGCCTGCCCACCTGCGGCAAGGAGTAGTGGTTCTGAGGGAGACACTGGGCTTCCTGAGTGGGAGGGGGCCTTCTCAGTTGGGACAGTCATCCTGGGCTGGGCTGCAGCAGGGAAACAGTGGACGTTGGCATGAGACCTGTCTCTGAGGACTGCTTCAGTGTTCCTATCTGTACAACTGGGATTTGGACTGATAGAGAATGGGAGGAGGTTGAGGGCTCCTGCGCCCGTGCCTTGAGGCCAAGGAGGGGTGGGTGTGGCAGAGGCAGTCAGCTGTCCAGGGCCCGTCGTGCCTGTTAGAGTTAGGCTTTTAGCCAAGCCATCTGGCTCCAGGATGTGTGCTTTCAACCACGATGCTAGATGTGGTGAGCCTGGCATTAGGTCCCCCAGGCTGTGCACCCAGAGGCAGCTGTGGCCCTTTCAGGGAGCTCTAAGCCCAGGGAGCAGAGCTGAGTGGGTGGGGCCCCCCGGAGGTGCCGTGTTAGGTGTTGCATGTCTGCAGGTCTGAGGCCCTTCATCCCCGAGAAGGACAGCCAGCACTTCGAGAACTTCCTGGAGACCATTGGTGTGAAGGACGGCCGTGGCATCATCACGGACAGCTTTGGCAGGCACCGGCGGGCCCTGAGCACCACATCCAGCTCCACCACCAATGGGAACAGGGCCGCTGGCAGCTCTGACGACCGGTCAGCACCCTCAGAGGGGGACGAGTGGGACCGCATGATCTCGGACATCAGCAGTGACATCGAGGCGCTGGGCTGCAGCATGGACCAGGACTCAGCGTGACGGGCAGTGGGTGGGGGAGCACCCACACCTTGCGCACGGTTGTCCTAGACCTTCCTGGGAGGAGGCGCCCAGACCTGCATGTCAGCCCTTCCCACTGGCTGGGGCCGGGGAGGGCTCCGGGCACAAGTGGCCCCAGGTGGCCCAGGGCCTCTACTGTGAAGGAGCAGGGAGCTGCCAAGGGACACATGCCCCAGTGCTGGGTGGAAGACTGCCTCATCCACCAAGGCCCGGTCAAGCCCTGCTTCATGTCCCTGCTCGGGGAGGCCAGGCCGAGCTGGCAGGGAGGGCCGGTCCTGCCAGCCAGGCCCTTGGACAGCTGTCGATTTGCACATGACGTTCCTATTGTAACTCTCAGAGACCTTAAAAAGAAGTTTACTACAATGTGAATAATTTAATCTCTGGTTGCCAGGCATATTTCTGGTCCAATTGGGTGAAAGTCACAGGTGTCAGGAGGGATGTCCATTCTGGCCTCTGTCCCTGGGGCCACATCTGCCCTGCAATGTCTAGGGCTGGGCACAGTGGTCTCAGGTTTCAGGCCGAGGAGGCAGTGGGCTCTCGCGCCACAGGATGGACCTGATTTGGGTATTGACTGTGGACATGGGATAGGAGCAAGTGTCCCGGGGTGCCTCGTGGGTGGCGGGCAGTGTGTGACAGGTCGGGACACCTTGGTCTATGTCTTGTGCACTGAATCCTACGTTGACCCTGGTTTGCTCAGCCCACCCTGTGCCCCTCCCCCCCCGTTTGTGGGTGGTTTCCTCAGGAGCAGACCCTGCATTCCCATGCTGACCAGAGGCCCCATCCTTGAGACCTCATCAGCTTGGAACCCAGGGTCCAGGTCTTCAGAGACACTAACGTGCTCCTTTCCCACCTCTTCCCTTGTCCTGTCCCCAGTGAGCTTTTCCTCAAAGGCCCTGTTGCCCTTGGTCTTGCTTGTACCCTTTGGGCCCCCCACAAGCCTGCCTTGATGTGGGGAGTGGGGCAGGAGGTGAGCTGGGGTCAGGTTGTCCTGGGTCATTTCCCTCCACCGGAGAGTGCTGAGGCCTCTGAGGCCACCTCCAGAAAGCCCCCAGGATGAGGAGATGGGGTGGGGGCATGCCTTGGGGGCAGAGGAATTGCACCTCAGGCTTCAGAGCTCTTGTGGTCCAGCCTGGGACCGGAGGCAGAGCCCCCAGGCTCCATGGTCGTGCTCGTTGTGTCCAGGCCAATCCAGGATCCAGAGTGTCTCATGAGCCTTCCAGAACAGGGTCCTTGCTATCACAGCTTCAGGACACAAAGAGGCCTGGATACTGTTCTTTTGTTTTGAGTTAGGGTCTCACTCTGTTGCCCAGGCTGGAGTGCAGTGGTACCATTATGGCTCATTGCAGCCTTAAACTCTTAGGGCCAAGAGATCCTCCTGCCTCAGCCTCCCAAGTAGCTGGGACTACAGGTGCATGCCACCACACCCAGCTAATTTTTTATTTTTTTGTAGAGACGAGGTCTCACTATATTACCCAGACTGCTCTCAAACTGCTAGGCTCAAGCCGTCCTCCCACTTCGGCCTCCCAAAGTGCTGGGATTACAGGTGTAAACCACTCTGCCTTGCTTGACAGTGTTTTACAGAATTTTCTTTCTGTCCTGGATTGTCCAAGAGCTCCTCACTTATGGGACCCCAGGCTTAGCCAGGCCAGAGAAGGCAGAGAGGCTCTTTATTATTGGTGCTGCCTGTAGGTTTACGTGCAAATGGGCCTGCTCTGGAAGCATCAGGAGAGGCTGAGGACAGACTGCAGAGTCTCCTGGGCTCCAGCCCCCGTCAGAGCCCACCCTGTGCCCCAGTGGATCGCAGTGCCCCAACCCATGTCATATTCAGCCTTGTGTGGGTCTTCTGTGTCAAGTGTCACCAGGACTACATGCCTCCTGCTCCAAGGCCCCTGCACCGGCACGTTCCCCACGCCGCAGGTCACTGGTCTTTGCCAGCAGAAAGAGTGAAGGACATGAAGCAGAGGGCTGCTCTCAGCCGGGCTGGGCCTGAGGGGATGCCCGAGAGTGATGAGGGCCATCAGCCATCAATGAAGCAACGTCAGAGAATGATGGAGGGACGCCTAAGGGCGATGGGGGACGCCAGAGGGTTGTGAGAGAACATCAGAGGGCGATGGGACACTAGGGGGCCACGAGGGGGCACCAGAGGGCGATGAGGGGGGCATCGCGGGGGACGGGGGAGGCCAGAGGGCAGGGAGGAGACACCAGAGGGTGATGGTGGACACAGATTTATTGAGCAGCAGAGCTAGGGGGAGGGCAGGATGGACCCAGCTTCCAGTCAGTGGCTACATGGTCAGTTCCTGCAGAAAAGTGCAAAAGGGCCATGTTGAGGGACGTGCCCCCTCCCCCAGCAGGGCCTCCCTGAGGCCCTTGAGGACAGCTGGGGGAAGGGAGGGGACCAGCACTTGCTCACCATGATGGCGTTGACGATGTCGCTGTGGTTCTCTCTCAGGGCCCGCACGGCCTTGGCCCTGGACACGTTGGCCTGGGCCATCACCAGCTCGATGTCACGCAGCTCCAGCCCTGCCTCATCCACCTGGGATGGGGGAGCAGGGAGGTGGCTGGAGGTCACCGCCAGAGGCAGTGCCCTCCTGGCCCCCTCCCACTCGGGTCCTGGAGCCCCCAGCCCTCACCTCCTCCTCCTCCTCTTCCTCCTCCTCACACTCCAACCTGGCCCGGGGCCTGGGTGCTGACTCGGGGACAAGGACCGAGGGCTCTGAGGGCACCTTGAACTTCTCGGCTGCAGCCTTATGCACTTGCTGGGACAAGTCCTCAATCTGCAGTGGGTGAAAGCTGTGTCAGCAGAAACTGTCCCTCTCCCTCTCCTGCCCTCCCATTCCACCATGGTCTGAGAGGCAGGGACACACCTTGGCCTCACCAAAGACCACATAAGTGTCTGAGGCTGGGCTCTTGAAGACATCAGGCTTGGCGATGACAAAGAGGATGTTCTTGGACTTCTGGATGGTGATCCTGGTGACTCCCTGAATCTGCCGCAAGCCCAGCTTTGACATTGCCTGTGGGCAGAGGGCAGAGAGGGGTCAGAGAGGCAGCACAGTGCCCCAAACGGCAAAGCTCCGCTGCCACTTTCCTCTGGCCTGGGGTGGGGGTCTCTCCCAGTGTGCAGAAGGGAGCGGCCTCAGTCTGTAAGGCCTCAGGTGTTTAGGGGAAGGGTGCAGGTTACTGGTGTTGACCCAAAGGGCCCTGAGGGATGGCATTTCATTAGCCCTGGGGTGTGAGAGGTCTTGGTAAGGACGTTCCCGTTTGCAGTCCTGGGGCCCCAGGGGACGCCACCAGCCCACCTTTCGGGCCTTTTTCTCGCTGCGACTCTGCTTGGCTTTGGCGATGGTCTCCTCGCTGCCGCTTGTCAGGGCCTGGGGAAAGGCGGGGGCTGAGCATGCGGGGGTGGGGAGTGCAGCCCCCCCGGAGGCCCGCCCCCTCCCCTGGACCAGCACCTGGGCTGGGCACTGCGCGGTCTGAGGAGCCGAGCTGTCCTGCTCGTCCAGCTCGGCCGACGACTCCCCGTGGCTGTCTGAGTGGTGGCCGGAGCCCGGGGCCCGCGGTGAGTCTGGAGAAGGGGAGGCGTGAGGAGGACCTGGGGCCCACGGTGAGTCTGGAGAAGGGTGGCGGCTCGGGCCAGAGGAAGCAGTGCCGGGTCCCCACAATGGGGCGTGGGGTCTGGACCGGCCGCTGTGGCAGGCCTCCAGCCCAGGCCAGCAGTGCCAGACCTGGGGAGGAGTCCAGCCGGCCCAGCCGTGGGGCCCCACCCCCAGCTCGTCCTCACCTTCCTCCAGGCTGTCCTCGTCCTCTGGCTGCTCCGGGGCTGGGAGCCCTTGAGGGCCGGCTGGGCTTCGAGGGCCAGAGTGAGGAGGCACTTGGCAGGGGAGAGAGATCCGCAAGGCCAGGTCTTTGGCATCCCTGGGGACTGCCTTGGGGCTGAGGAGGGGCGAGTGGGGCGAGAGGCCGACCTGCTGCCCAGCCCCTGGCGGCTGCGTGGTTCCTGAGATGGCAGCGGCTGGCTGGGCTCCTGCCTGGGGCAGCGGGAGGCCCGGAGCGCCTTGTGGCTCTTTGTCCCGCACGGGGTCTTCCCAGGGACCCTGGCACAGGCAGAGGCCGGGGAACTCCTGCAGGAGCGGGGCTGCCCCAGCAAGAACACCAGGGGTAGAGGAGTCAGGGCCCAGGGGCTTGTCCTGGAGTGTGCTGGGCAGGGCCGGAGCAGGGTTTTCTGGGGGCAGTGGCAAGGAGGGGCCGAGCACACGGGGTGCCACCTGGAGCTGCTCAGCCCCGCCCAGGCTCAGCACAGGATCCAGCCACTGGGCGGGTGGTGCAGGCTCTCCAGGGCAGGAGCCCGGGCAGGCCTCTGCAGCGACTGTCGTGGGAAGCCTGGGCCCCAGGATGACCTCACTGCTCGGGCCCCCTCCCTCCTTGGCTGGGCTCAGGGGTGATGCCCGGCCAGCCCTGGGGCAGGAAGCAGGTTGCCTCTGGGGAATCTCCCCTGCACCTTGGGGTGCTGACCCGGGTCCATGTCCCTGTGCTGGTGGCTCCAGGCCTCCTCCCCTCTGGTTCTCAGCCCCCAGCGCCTCCTTTGCGGGTGAGTGGGGCTCAGTCCCATCACCTGTGTGCCCTTGGGCTTCCAGACAAGCTTCCCTCTTGGGCACAGAAAGGCCCTCGGCGGCTCCTTCCTCCCTGGAACCAGAGGCAGACTCTGGAAGATCAGAAGCCTCCATGCCTACGGTGGGGCCTGCATCTTCCTGGGAAGCCCGAGGCGTCCCAGCGTCTACTGCTGGCTCTTGGTCATCCTGCTGAACCTGGTCCAAAGCGGGAGGCTCTGGGGCTCCAGGGAGCACTACATCCCTCTCCTCGGGTGCTGGCCTCAGTCCTAAGGCCACACCTACTTCCTGCTGGGCCGTGGAGGCCACGGGCTCAGTCCCTGGGGCGCAGCCTGCTTCTTCTGTCTGCAGGGCCTGAGAGGGGGCCGCAGCCACCACGGGCTCCCGGCCTGGGGAGGGGCTTGTGACTTGCAGGGACAGAGGCGCTGTCATAGCAGGGTCCTGGGGCAAAGCGAGACTGTCTTCAGCCTGCTGGGGCACCGGGGTGCCTGCAGCCACAGGCTTCGGGCCTGAGGGGAGGTGTGGCCCTGCTTCTTCCTTTGAGTTCTGAGGCGAGTCTGGATGCAGCGTGAGGCTTGCTTCCTCCTGCAGAGTTGGAGGCATTTCTGCAGCGACAGGCTCCTTGCCTAGAACATGGAGTGTGCCCCCTGGGGAGGACGGAGGCGCTGCCCCTGCCGCAGGCGCCTGTCCAGCTTCCTTCTCCCCGGCCTGAGGGGTCATGTCGGTAGCAGCCTCCACCCGGGGGCCTGGGGCTGCCTGCACAGTGGGAGGGGTCACAGTGGCAGCGGGCTCCTGGCCTGAAGCAGGGCCCTCCTCCGCTATGTCCGCCGTCGAGTTCGGGCTTTGGGCGAGCGGAGCCTCTCCTCTTCCTTCCGAGACCTGAACCTGCGGCCCCGCGGCCCCAGCAGCACGCTCCTCCGTCTTCTGGACGCTGTCCTGAAGCAGCGTGGGCTGGGCATGGGGCTCCCCGCTGTACAGCCTCTCGTCGTCTGCCCCCGCGTAGGAGGCCGAGTCCGAGTCGGAGGAGGCCGCCGAGGTGTCGTCCCGGAAGGCGAAGGCCTCGTCCATGCCCTCCGTGATGGACAGGTCGGACAGCGACTGCAGGAAGGAGGCCGACGTGCTGTCCTCCTCACTCTCCCCGGCCAGGTCCCCCTCTGGGCCAGAGCCCGAGGCTGCCTCCTCCTCCTCCTCTTCCTCTTCTGGGGGCCGAGGCGTCACCTCCACTGCCTCCACCTGGAAGATGAGGCTGCCCCGGAAGGGCAGGAGGGCTGCAGGAATCATCGGGTCATTGGCCAGGAAGTCCAGGTCAAAGAAGTGGCCCTCCTGGCCCCAGGAGGAGCTGCTGTCTGCAGAGAAGCTGGACTCAGGGGACGGGGCCCCCAGGGGCCCAGCGGGGCGCAGCTCTTGCTCATCTGCGACGGACCCCGGGGGAGACAAGCCCCAGCCCGAGGGGAAGTCCAGCCCTTCAGCTGGGGCCAGCAGGCCGAGCGAGCAGGAGGGTGACGAGGCCCAGCTGTCCCCGTCAGCCGTGATGTAGGAGCCCGAGGGTGAGGCGGGGGGCGAGTCCAGCAGCTCATCCAGCAGCTCAACCTCCGGGTCCCAGGCGTCCCTGGGGGGCCCTCGGCCAGGGGCCAGGGCGTAGGTGGTCTTGGGGGGGCTGGAGGGAGGCGTGAAGTAGGAGTCAAGGTCTGGGGGAGGGGAAGGCACAGAAGGCTCGCCCTGAGAATACAACTCGGGGGGTGGGCTCGGGCTTACGTGCCCACCCTCCTGGTCCCTGAGCACCGGCCGGGCTGCCCTGGGCCACGGAAGGGCCTGGCACGTCTCCTCGCCCATCACAATCCGGGGCTCCAGGGTGGCCGGGAGAGGAGCCTCGGGGGGCCGAGCCTGGGGGCGCAGGCCCTCGGGGAGGAGTGCTGGGCTTGGGCCACCCTCCGCTGGGTCTGCCCAGGCTGAGGGGGTCCCACCCGGCCCCGCATCCCAGCTGGCACCCTCGGGCTGGGGCCGGGCACCCGGCTTGCTGGGCAGGAACTTGAGGGCCAGCGGGCTGGGCCCCGGAGTCAGGGCACAGGACTCCTGCCCGTCCTCTCTCAGGATGGTGGCAGCAGCCGCATCGCAAGAAAGATCTGTGGAGACAGAGAAGACACAAGGCTCCCTGGACACCGCTCCCAGGCAGAGGCCAGGCAGGGGAGGTAGATTTCTGCAGAAAAGGGCTCAGAGGAGGGGCAGCCAAGGGAGGCAGGAGAGAAAAGGTGGCCTGGACTGTGACAGGGAGAATCTCCAGGAGTTTTGGCGGGCAGAGACAGGTTGATGGCGGCTTTGTGGAGAGGGGTGCTGGCAGGTATAAAGGAATCTTCCCGGCAGCTTGTTTCAGGGACACTTCAGCAAAGGTGCAACGAGTATTTCTATGTCCTTTCAGAGACTGCCTTGCTGCTTCTGTTCCACATACTCAGTGTGGTTCAGCTGGGCTTGGTAGGAGAGGTAAGTGATGAAATCCACCAGGTGGCACCAGCCCCTTCCCACGACCTCCTGACAGACACACCTGGTGAGACAGGCATCATCCCTTCGCTGTCACCGCAAAACGGGCCCACAGTGTCTCACATCTGCCGAAAGCAGGGGTCTCGCTCCTCTGGCTCATCCTTCTCCTTCCTACTTTTGCTCCCTACGCTTGAGGTCGGGGTTTCAGCAGGGTTCTCCCCCAGTCCCGCCCCACTCCTGTGGCCTGAGAGAAGGGAAGCCAGAGCCACTGCACAAAGCCAAGTTTCTGGAGAACAGAGATGAAGTGTTCAGTGGAGGCCGAGTCAGAGCACCCCCAGAAGGGCAGTGGCGGGCAGGAGCGGCGACCATGGAGCTCAGCAAGTGCCCAGGACGGCTCTGGGAGGGCCAGCAGCAGCCTCTGGCCGAATCCTCTCCATGGTGGCAGTCGTCCCATGGACTGAGAGCTCCTGTCCTGCCCTGTGGCCCTTCTCTGGGTCCCATGGTGCCTCCCCCAATGCCTCTTGGCAAGGCTTCACTGTGAGGAGGCCACAGGTGCTCAGTAAACCTCTGCGGGTTGGGGAGGGGCCACACACACAGAGTGTGGGTCAGAAAGGACTCAGTGGCTCAGGAAGATGGAAGAAACCCAGCTAAAGTTGCACCACACCATGCTGCTGGGGTCTTTGCCCTCCTGGTCTCTTCCTGGCTTGCATTTTATCACAGGTGAGATCACACTGCACAGCTGTGAATCTAGCTGTTTTCTTTTCTGCATGCTCCAGACGCTCACAGGTCTGATTCTTAATGTCTCTGTAACATCCCTCTTTCACTTGGACCAAGGCCAAGGACACCTCTGTTTACAGCATCTGATGAAGCACCCCCACCCCCCCACCCCCACCTGGTGTGCGCGCACAAAGCCCAGGCCAGGTTCCTTCCAAGAGGAAGGGAGGGGCAGCATACAGGGCCAGCTCCGGGCTGCAGATGTTTGCCCGGAGGTCCTGCTCTACTATGCTCGCTGGCGACAAGGACATCGACACCTCAGCTTTCTTGTCTGCAGAGTAGAGCCAGGGCAAGAGGTGACGCTGAAGAAGAGGGCGGCCCTGTTGCCAGGCTGCCCTATCTCCCCTCAGCAGCGTCAGAGCCCTTGGCCACCAGCCAGGACTCACCCAAGGGTTTTGCTGCTGGGATGCTGGGGCAGCCAGGCCATCTTGAGAAAAGGGGGTCCTTCAAGTCCACACAGGCCTGACACCCAACACCAGGAGTGGGCGTGGCTGGTGGGGTGTCACTCGGCATCCCAAGGCTGGGCTCTTGGCTCTGGCCCCTGGCATGGCCCCCCCAGGGCAGGAAAACAGCAAAGCTGGGCCAAGGTCGGACGGAAGGGAAACCAAAGGCCAAAGGTTTTGGTAACTCATTCAAGGTCACCAAGCAAGCCAGAACAGAGCCAGCACAAGACCCAGCCCGCACTGCCTGCCTCCCACCCAGAGTGGAGGCAGCAGCCTGTGTCTGCCACCTTTCCACCAGGCCCCAGGCCCCAGTCCTGGTTCCGTCCCCAGGTGACATTTTGCCCAGAGCAAGGTGCCCTTGGCCCTACCCGAGCCACACATGTCAGGGCCATCCTGGCTCTGACCTTCCCAGGCCCGGGTGGACCCCAACGGCCTCCACCAAAACTTGCTGACCCAGCCTCTCCAAGGGCCACCGCTAACCAGGCCGCCGCCTCCAAGGCCGCCCAACCTCCCAGACCCAACCAGCCTTTTCTCCAACAGACTGGCCCTCCACCTGGCTTTCCCAGCCTCCAGCCAGTCCGGCCCCTCCCTCCAGAGCAGTGACCAGTCGTGGGTCCAGACAGCCCAGGGTGCGGCTGACGACCCTTTCGGCAGGCACCTGGTCATGCTCAGGGCGCCCCACCTCCCGAACCTACTGCCTTCGGTCCAGGGCAGCCCAGCCCCGCCAGGCCGGCGGCTCCCTCAGACAATGGGACTTAGCGAGTGGGGACCACGGGAGCCCCTCAGTCCCTGGATGCGAGGCCACGGGTGTAAGCCCCAGGTCCCTTCTGGCTCGCGGAGGGCACTCTCTGTGGACCCGCAGGCCTGAGGCGGGGAGGGCAGGGTGC